AACATGCAGTTCATTCACTAAATTGCAATCTTTGCGGAGTCAATGTATATTATTGCTACTTTGAGTACCATAATCTACATTGATCTCACAACGCTTAAGCCGAACCTACTCGAACAATTCTATTCGGGGGGATAGCTAATTCTTTTTGATAAGTCTCGCCATAGACTTCCAAAACATTTATGGGAAAACCAAACACCCAATCTCAAGTCGTTCGTCTAAAAGACAACAGACAATTACACCAAACTATATTTTACCATGTAAAGCTAACTTAAACCAAGTTAGAAATGGAAAAATAGTTTGGAACACTTTTCTATAGGCATAAACCCCTGTAGTATCCCTTTTCAGCATTCTCCACCCCTTAACTGGTAGATGTAGCTGTTCCCAACCATAATAGCTTACACACCAGGTGCATATAGTTTGAGACCTTATGTAAAATCCCCTTCATAAGCCCACCTTAAACCACATAATTGCATGACACATTGAACCAGAACGGCACAGGCTGGACGTCGCTGGAGACAACCTTCGCTGGAGGCGACCTGCAATCCTGACGTTGGTCTCAACTCTTCATCCAGTGGCCGCTTCTTCAGTTCAATCCAAGGGCACCCCTCTGTATGCTGATTAATCAACACTTCCAATCGCTGTGGATTTACCGTTGTGGATTATATGACTTTTTCCAATGGATTACAGACTCTGTTTCCAAGGGGTTAAAGCATTGCTACAATGGAATTACCGAGAACATTGTGGAATTACCTTGACTTTGTTTCCTTGCTGGATTACTTCTGACTTTGGTCTTCCTTGAAGGATTACTTCTGACTTTGGTCTTCCTTGCTGGATTACATCAAGCTCAAGGACATTTGAAGGTCTAAGTTCACGGTTGGAATTCATCCCCATGGACAGGTGATGATTTCCAAAGGGGGGACTGTAGTGAACCAGATAACCTCAAATCTACCAGATGGACAGAGACTGTTATTTTCATTGATCTGAATAAGTCTGAACCATCTGATGAACTTTCTTTCTTGAATTAATCAAGCAGAAAAGACAATCCTCTATAATCATTACTGTCTTACAAATGTTTTGATAATCAAATTGTGTTAGTTCACTCAATGCTTTACAGGTTGAAAAGAACTACTAATTTTTATTTTACATAAACAGTAAGTAATGATTTTTGTTCCTCATTCAGAGAAGAAATCACCTGAATATGCCTTTCTTGATTTTCTGTCTGAAATGAGCAAGCTGTCGTAAGTATGTTAAAGGTTGGTTTTCGGTCAACTAAAATGTTTACCGAGAAAAATGTCATGTTTTACTATTTGAAAAGATTACAAAGTGTGAGACTCCACGAAGTCTGCTGTTGCTGCAATAATCTTTTCTGTATGTTGTAAACAATCCTTGACTTATGATAACATCTTACGTCACAAATCCACTCCTCTTTCTGGTCCTTCCACGAATCAGAAAGCTCTAAATTGAACAGGAAGTCGACCCAAATAAAATGTGGCAACTTCTCAGTTCATAGAATGGAGAATGGAGTTTGAAGAGAGAAGAGAAGGAATAGAGAATTATGGATTCCAGAATTCCAAGAGAATGAGAGTTCTGAGAGATGTTGGAATGAGAGCTGACAACAGGTCCGATAGTCCAACAGAATGAGCAGATTGAGAGTGCAGCCGGTTATGAAGAGTTTGGAGTTATGAAGAACCAGGAACGTTTGGGATTATAATTCTGTTTTGAGCTAATCAACGCACGACTTTCTGAAGGTTTGGTAGCTCTCGACGGAGACGCTGAAACGAGTCAGAAAGGAACTACATCCAGCGCTGATTCATCGTCAACAGGTAGATGGTTCTATTTTGACCAAGTGTACCGTGAGAAGCTGAGGATCTGACGAAGCGTGCAATTTCTGGTTAAACAGATTAAACTTCCCTCACACAGTTCTCTGTAAGATAATCTCCTTTCACTCTAAAACCCACCTCTCTCTCATAAATCAGTACAGATATTTTAGAGATATCTTAAGCAAAGTCCTCAAATCACCGCCGAGTGATTTGAAGTTCATTTTCTGTGAAACTGTCTGTTATTATTTTCATATTTTGCCAAATTAATGTAAATGTTTGATGTTAAACTTTGATTTTGAAAATAAATGATTCCATTCATTTGATGGGTCAAAGATAAATAACGTCTCTCGTTCACATTTCTGTTAAATTCAATGCACGACATTTACAGTCAGAAAAATGAAGAACTCGTGAAAAGTATGCATAAATATATATCCATATATTTGTCATACAACAAGTGACACGTACCTCACGTGTCTCACTACACCACCCTTTATTATGAACTTGACCTTAGACTTGGACATGATAGGTGAAGAGGACTTGATCTTATGACTAAGACTCAACAGGAGCCTCTCTTCTCCTGCTGAGCCTGGTCTTTTTACTGGACAATGATGACAATCATGACCGCCTTGACCACAATAAAAACAGAGATGGTACCTCCTCCGACGTTCTCGTTCCTGGGTGGTCAGACGACTTCTTCCTAGTTGCATGGGTTCCGTAGCATACAGAGGATCCTGAGGGCTCTTGGTTTGTTCCGTTTTAGGTTCATGATCCACAAGGTGATGTCTGGTTCTGGACATGGCTGTGGCCTTGCCTCGACTCTGTTCACGGTCACGCTCACGCTCACGCAGGCGAAGGTCAACACGGGTGGCCACCTCCTCCAGCTGGCGTAGGGATGAGGGATAGTCCATTGTTGCCAGCACATCCTTAACATCTTCATTAAGCCCCCTGAAGAAGGCGTCAGTGAGTGCGTGTTCATCCCAATGACTGTCTGCTGAAACAGAGTGAAAGTGAATGATGTATTTGGTTACAGAATCCTTGCCTTGTTTAATATCAAAAATTCTTCGGGCTGCCTCTCTCTCAGGGAGGATGGGGTCAAAAACCTGACACAACTCTTTGGAAAATTCAGAAAAATTACGACATACCACGCCACCTTTTAACCATTCAGAAGTGCCCCACGTCTTGGCTCTTCCAGCGAGAAGTGAGACAGCATAAGCTACTTTAGCATGCTCAGTGGGAAAACATGAAGGTTGCAATTGAAATTGAATGTCACACTGAGTCTAAAATGGTCGACATTGCTCAGGCTCACCTCTGAAATGTTCAGGGGGGGCTAACCGTGGTTCTCTTGGTGCAGGAGTCAACAGGGTTTGGTTGATGACTTGGTTTGACTGTTGGGACAAAGCTTGAAGAGAAACAACCATTTCCTGAAGCCCTTTCTCAAGTTTACTAACAGCCCCTTCTACCTTAGAGCACCACTCTCGGGTTGGTGTTGGATCCATAATGGCCAGATTCTACTGTCATGAACCAGAGGCCGGATCGCAAACAACAACAACAACCACTGAGAGGGTTAAAAGATTTATTGTGAAATAAAGTAAAACCCTGGAGTAGGTCCGGTTCTGGGCTGGTTCCGATCTTCTGATTGGTAGTTCGTGATTGGGTAGTGTTGTAGTGGCGGGCTGCCAGTAGAAGTAGAACTGATGTTAAGGTCCACTGGAACGGAGTCCAACAGGCTTGCAACTAAAAGATAAAGGTTAGTAGATGCAGGGGGAAAGAGACTAATTGGGGAAATGAATCTGTGGGAATCAGATTCAGGGATAAGGATAAGTCCGTGATACAGAATGAGCTTGACCTTTAATCCGTGATCCAAAAAACAGTCAGAAGGGAAAGGCAGAGTTCATACCGTGAAGTCAGTTGTTCAGCAGAAGTATCCAGTACGTGATCCAAAAAGAGAGTCAAAAACAAGAGCATGAGTCGGTACCTGATCAGATGAGCAAAAGCAGACGAGGGCTGAGGCAAAAGCGTGGTCGTGGTCAAGGCAAGGGTCATGAACGTGATGAGTCAATCAATGGAATGCTGGAAAGTCTACTGCTGATGAGACAGGATAGAGAATCTGGCCCAGACTGAGAGGAATGAGTGAGCTTAAGTACTGACTGGACCAGGTGGTGGAGCTGTGCGATAATGAGCGGTGACAGGTGACATGAGTTGAGTGATTACTGAGTGTGCAGCATGACAGAGGAGCTGACAGAGAGCAGAGCTATGACAAGATTACTGAAGTTGGTAAAGTCAAGACCTGGTTTCTTGATGATGGGGGTGATGGCTGCAGATTTGAAAGCTGTGGGAACAATGCCAGAGGTTAGGGAGGAGTGGATGATGTTAGTGATGATGGGGAGCAGAGACCGGAGACAGGATTTAACAAGAACTGTGGAAAATGGATCGAGCTCACAGGATGAGGACTTAGACTTGCTGATAATGTCAGCAATGTCATCAGCAGAGGGGAGGGAGAAGACAGAGAAGGGGAGGGAGGGAGGGGGGAGTTCAACATCATTATCTCTGCCTGAAGTCAGAATATATTTTTCATCTCATCTGTTCGTGCAATATTCCCCCAAATAATTTGCCATTTTCAAGGAGAAATGTCACACCCGGAGATCATTTAGTATCTCTGTTTTTTCTCAAATGCCTCAGGAAGCTGCTTTCTCAAGCTATTTTTTGCCCATTTACCTTGTTATTTTTATAGAAGTTGTTTTACCAAAACAGAGTTCAAATGTGACCCGCATAAATCCAGCTGAATCATGTACTGCATGTAGAAAATTTATGAGAGGTGAAAAATAAAGACCAGAAAAACTGTTAGAGCCAGAAAAAAAAATGGATTAAAGAGTCCCTTGTGCTAATGAAATTCTTTGTCCAATTTAGGAAGCTAATTTTTTAGAAACAGCAAATGAAACAGATGGACTTTTTAAAATAAATTAAATATTGAACTTTTTTTTATCAAGGGGGGATTTGAAGAACATCATGGTGTTGCCAAGTGAACAGAAAATGTTCACACCTGGCACCAACAGATCCTTTGGGATTTTAAAACTTTGCTTTAGGAAATCTGCGTGAAAGCTCTGCGCATGTGAAGAGTGTTAATCATATTCTTTTCCAGACAAAACTGCATTAATGCTCCAAATCTGTCTCTCCCTGCAGTAATTACACAGCTCTCGTTGGCGTGTGGATCTACGGTCTCTTCGTCATGGTGCTGCTGGCGCTGGACTTCCTTTACTACTCAGCCATAAATTATGAGCTGTGTCGAATTTACCTAGAGAAGTGGGGTCTGGGTGGCCGCTGGCTAAAGAAGGCTCGGAGTCAGTGGCACAGATCTATGCCCGACGAGAGCGAGGTGCCGGCCCAGGCCCAGCCCAAGGTCCCCAGCCACTACCAGCCAAGACACAGCCTCCGAGGGGAGAGCCACAGCCCCACGCTCCTGCCCTACAACACATCCACCGCATGGTGAGGCCTCCAAAACACAACAGCCGACAACATGAGATCTGCACAAACATACAAAAAAATTTTGTAGCAATAACTAAATATTTTATATTACAGGAAAATTCTTGCTGGGCTGCTGTAGTTCAGTGGTTGGTGCCACAATAGCCAAATCATTCACATTGAGTTAGCTTGCTATGGCGACACCCACTGACCCCCCCCCCCCCCCCCCCCCCAAAAAAAAAAAAAAAAACCTACACAGAATATCTTGACAGATTTGTCATCAATACCTTGGACCATCACTGATAAGCTGGGCAAAGATATTCTGAATGTTTTTGCGCAAATATCAGGGAACACAGAGGTTAACACCAGGGTCAGAAAGGGAGATAAAGATAAAACAAACAAGGAAAACAGACAAAAAGATTATGTCACCTGACAGTTTGATTTAAATTAGTTTAGCTGAAAAACTATGCCATGATGATTTGTACAGTTTTTTTTATTATTCTTAGCCATTTGTTTTGAAGTCATTGATCCCATGAGTGTGAATTATCTTCATTGAACTCAGATAATGATTTGTTGGTTATTCTTTAACAAAACTATGTATGTTGTAAAACTTCCATTCGTTATCTTTTACCTGCTTTCCTGCACACCTCTAGAGACAATTTAAAGTTACCAATCAGCCAAACATGCATGTTTTTGGTCTGTGGGAGGAAACCAGAGTATCTGGAGAAAACCCATGCAGCAGAGAGAACATGCAAACTCCACCCAGAAAGGCCCCTGGCTGGGATTTCAACCGGCAATGGTTTCACTGAGAGGCAGCAGGTCTACCAACTTAATAAATTAATTTGTGCAATATTTTAATTTGAGGGAACAAATTTTCCTGATGCCTCATTTTATTTTGACATCTGGCACTTGCTGGGCTCCCTACTTAGGTATAACATAAACTATCCATCCATCCATCCATTATCTTTTTACCCGCTTCTTCCATTTTGGGTCATGGGGGTCGCCGGTGCCCGGGGGGGGGGGGGGGGGGGGGG